TACTAGTACAACCGAAATTCTGCGAGCAGGAAGGAACCAGCTAGCTAGCACAACTGGATTATTGATCATCATACAGACACACATGACTTAAGAAACTTTACAGAACCGAATATCAGCAGGTAACATAATTAAGCACAACCACGACGTTACAGTAATAAAATACAGAAGGAACGCAGCGCACAAACTTAGCAAGAGCAACATGCATGTAGATGCAGAAACCAGACTTCTACTTCATGAACCCCTGAGCCATCTTCATGAACCCGCCGCCGCCGCCGCTCTCCTTCTCATCCTCGCCACTCTTCTTCCCGGACAGCGATGCAGCCCCCTTCATGACGTCGTCGAGACCGAACCCACCGGACGCTTTCTCTTCCTCCGCGGCGGGTGCAGGCGCAGGCGCTGGCTCCTTGGGTGCATCCGGCTTCGGCGCGTCAGCGGCGGCAGGTGCGTCAGTTTTCTCCTTCTCGGTGCCGCCGGAGCTGTACTGTTTCAGGTACCCTTCAGCCTTCTCGAGGTACTGCCCCACCGGCTTGTCCTCCAGCTTGCCGTACTTGGCGGCGGAGTCCAGGATGTCGGCGGAGGCGGCGGCTACCTTTTCCTTGTCGATGCCCTCGACGCTCTTCTTCTCGTAGGCCGTCTTGGCGGCCTCCGCGACCAGCTTGCTGCTGGACATCAGGTCCCCGGACGAGTTCTTCTCACCCTCCATTGGAGCTTAGGTGCTGGTAGCAAAAATCTTTTGTGGCTTAAGACTAGTGAGGTTAGTAGCAGATGGAGTGAAAGAGGATATGTGCTAGGGGGCAATTTTATAGGTGGAGGAAGATGTGGATGGCATCGGCAACAGAAGGGAAAGCTACTTGTGTGGTTGAGTTTAGTACTAGTGGAAAAGAAAATATCTTCAGATGATAATAAGACAGGTAGCGGAAGAGAAAATTTTACCCAAGTAAAATACTAAATTTGAGTGTTGTAGAAAAATAGTATAATTTTTTTTGTTCAGTATTAGATATGAAAAACAAATGGTTATTTCTAAGAGCTTCGAGTGGATACAAAGTTGTTTTAAAATGGTATAGTGTAAAGTACTGCTTGAAAATTCCTAACAAACTTTACTTCTACAAATCAAACAAACAACACATAAGAGGTTCTTAATATTTTGTTCCTCCAAATTTCTACAAAAATCCTTCGTAAAGGTAACTAAACTAAGAGCAGGCTGCCAGTGTTACTGTGTATCTGTCCCTTTTTTTAGTGCTTGACTGTGAAGAACCGCAGTCACGAAACGAATTTGGTCTCAAAAATCTCAGTGGATTACCTCTTTAAGATAAAGTGGCAGATATGGAATCAACTAAAGCTCTTGTGCTCACAATCGCAAGTGGATTTATGCAAAATTAAAAATGAAAGAAAGTAGCCAATACGGCGGGGATACGTGTTCTCTTGCATTGAAAGTGATAATTACCTGCTGAACAGGGAAGATGTCCAAGGATCCCAGATGTCGACTGTCGGCAGAGGCACCACCGACGCTTGCTAACGGCTGAAACGAGCGATACGTATTTGGTGTACCCCCCGCCAGGGAAAATATCTGATAAGTATGAGGTGCCACTATTGCTTCCATGCTACAGTACCAATTTAGAAAATTCAAATTTAAAAGGTATAAAAAATTCAGAAAAAAATCGTGAATGTTCACCACACATGTGCCCACAGCTCTTCAGAAATTGAGATCCAAACTCAAAGCACACATTGAGAAACAAAAAGCACAAATCCATGATGAATAGTGTCAAGAGAAGACAAAAGATAAAATGACACTATTGACATCTACATTTCTCTTTTTTGTTTCTCCATCTGTATATCGAGTTCTAATTTGAAAATTTTAGGGCTTGTAGACAAATGTTTAGTGAACAGAAATGCTTTTTTTAGAATTTTTTAAACATCTATTTAGAAAAATTGATTCATGGAAGCATGACGGTATGCCCAGACAAATAAAAGAAGAGGGCTCAAGGCATCTTCAAGCGGACCCTCAAAACGCCCGCATACGTCCGTACCGAGTTGTCCCAACGTTGTTTGTCACCCAGCACAGGTCCATTTGTCCGCGGATGTCTCAGCTTATCCAACTTCCCGCAAACCGGACGCAAATTGGGGAGCTTTGCGGGAGTCTGAACCGCCGCCACGTAGGACTCCAACACCCCCAACCCACTCAAATTAATTGGGTCACTTTTCTATCACTCCGCCCCTACTGCCTTTTGCTCTGCATCCGCATCCTCCTTGTCCAACAACGCCATTGTATCTCTCCAGCTGCCGTCCAGGCATTGCCGGGCGTCCAACGCCATCCGCATCCATGCTTTCGTCTACCTTGGGTTACGCCACCATCCACACAGGATCCGTCGGTAGCTAGGTACCCTCCGCCCCCAGCCAACGTCATCCAAGGAGGACACCACGCCCCATAGGTGTTCGGTGAAATGCCATTGAGCTTTTTTTTGAACTTATTGTTTATTTCTAGAGTAAGCACGATGGCAGGTTACTCACTGATGGAGGATGAGTTGCTATGCAATTCATAGAATGTTGTATCTGTGGACTTTGTAGGCAGGAGGCAAGTGGGCCCGTCGTTTTGGCAAAATGTGCATGCTTTGTTTCATGAGCAAAAGTACTTCACGCCCTACGACTTGCACGTGTCCATGATTGTAATGTGAAGTTGCTAACCCATCGGTGGTACATCATCTCCAACTCCGTATGAAGTTTTGCGGTGCGGTTGCACGAGTGGAGACAATGTGTCCGCCGGGCTCGTCAACCATGGAGATTGTATGTTTTGCTTCTTGTTGCTATACATGTTGGTCAATTCATTTATTCACTCAATGCCACAAGTGGATAATCATCGTGTTGTGTAGCCCAGTCGTCTTGCCGTGCTATACTACAGGACCGAGGGCAAGCCATTTATGTTCATGCATTGTTGGATAAAACTCAAGGGGCACAATGCATGGAAGGACATATGCGGATTTTGACTCGAGTATCATCGAATTTGAAATCGATGAACTCAAAAACTTGTTGAACATCTGGTTATCTAGGATGTAATATTTACAATTGAACTAAACTAGGGATATTTGCAAGCTTTTTGTGGATGAATGTGGTATTTTTCATGATTAGCTTGTGTGTTATGGACTTAAGAAAAAAAGAGAGCGAATGTTATATCTGTGTCCACGGATCAGTTCGACCAGTCCATGGACAAATAGTATGTTGGACGTTGGAGACGCGCTCATTTTGATGGGATTGAGGACTTTAAATGCCGGTTGTCCAGTTCTATTCTTTGAAATGGTTCATGTCTTAAAAAGCAACATCACCAATCGGACCCTCTATTCTACCTTTTATTTATTGAGGTGGTCTGGACAACCATCTTTTGTAAATCCTTTAGTGAAATTGAGACTGCTCGACCTCTTCCAAATGGACCCCTCAAATCGAGCCTAATGTTTGGATCGTCCGATGCCCCTCAAACCAAGCCCATAAGTGGAGCGGATTTGGGGTTGTCCAAACATGCCCGAACGTGTCCACCATATAAGACGACCCAGGTTGGACCACTCTGACACCACATAAGCCCCATCCCATCCCATCTTACCAAATCCTAGCCCTCGCTCTCAATCATTGATGTCCTATAAGTGCACAAGGTTTAGTTGTAACCTTTTCGAAGTAAGAGTATCGATCCCACAGGGAGCACATGAGTTAATCTTTTTGTCTCTTGAAGGGTATGAATGAAGTTCTCGTGAGTTGTTAGTTCTCCAAAGGAATAATAACGTGAAAAAAACAAAGTAATTGAAGGTGCAATGGTAAAAAAAATTAACAGATGTAAGCAACTAGAATCATAAATGAGAGGCTTGAAACGAATAGGGTTAAGGCACTCCCAGGGAGTCCAGAATCCCCTCTAGTGTGCATCTATAGCGGTGCCTAAACATAATACTACTTGGGATTCCTAAGCCACTTTGCATGTTTATCTTTGTGGGGAGAGCCAGTACAGATACGTGCATACATGCGGCAGCTATCTCATATGCCACCACCGTTCTTCCACACTCCGGTTATCAAACAGTAATTAAGGGAAAGGAGTCCCCGTGCACGTAGCCAAAGCGGTCTATGTTTTATCCCCTGCTGCAACGATCCGCTAAGAAGGGATATGGGGCCTGTCACTCACCCACCTCGCCAACCACACAATTCACCAACACTAATAACATTTGTCCGAAATTTGCATACATTGGATGGTCGACTTCACCCAACATCAAGAAGATTATCAACATAAACATGCAAAGAGGATGTAAAATCCTAATATCAAATGATCTATCACGCACTAGGGTTCATCCATATCCCTGAGAACTAAGGGAACTACTCGCACATGAAGGCAACAAACATCATACCACCAAAGATGGGAAACATGAATGGATCACACATGTAATACACAAGTTATTCCTCTAGGGTTCTTGATATTACAATAAGGGAAAGGTAGATGATTATGATGATGATGATGATGACAGTGGGGATGATGTTGAAGCCTTCTTGATGGAGATGGTGGCTTCCTCCTTGCCGGTTCCTTCCTCCGGACCACTCCGACGGCTAGGGTTCCTGCTTTTGGACGATTTTCTCGTGTCTCTAGGCATCTGATCCACGATCCGTCTTCATGAGGTGAATACAGTTGATCCGGGGCGGCGATGGTAGTCCATACGCCCGCTCATACGGGCGGGCGGGGTCATATGGAACATCCCCATTTGCTCTGGCTATTCTGTGATGATTGCTTCTTTGCCCACTTTGCTTCTCTCTTTTATGGTAGGTGATTATCACTTTAATTGCGTGATTTTACTACCATTTCCTGAGATTTCTTCCATATATTATTATTTGGTCCACAAAGCAATATCTGAGGAAAAACGACAAAAAGAAGTGTACGAACAGAGTAAAATTCCACTAGGCCTACATAGTAGGCACAAAAACACTAACAAAATGATCACACAATTTGGACTCATCAACTCCCCCAAGCTTAAAGATTTGCTCGTCCCCGAGCAAATGCGACAGCTTGTAAGAAAAGGGGGTCATCTTGTTTATGAGATGCGGGTAAATTGAAAATGAATGAGTCCATCATGAATTCAGAATTTGCATCATACAATGAGCTATGTCGTGTACTATAATATCTTGATCGTCATTAGATGAGTATGAAGGCTTCCACACCTTATTACCAATCATTAAAAAGATGTCACCCAACTCTGAGTGATAATGGTTTCCTCCCTTCAGTTGGACAAGCTCCTATGGTTTACTGCTTTTACTCAAGTTATTTTTCCTTCTCCCCTGTTTATTTCTTGAGTTACCAAGCGTACCCCATATCACTGGAGTTTTTATTCTTCCGTTTTCTCTCTTCAAGGTGTGATATGAATGGTATGCCTGGCTGTCCAAGTTTGATTACCGAGGATTGCTAAAATTGTTTTAACTTTTTTACTTTTGTTTGTACGATATAGAAAGTCAGCCCTCTTTTCATATTTGCCTCATTAATTCAAAGGCTTCACCAATTAATCATGAAATAAACTGTCATGAAGGTCAATTCATCACATCAAGTTATCAACTTCTCTTTCCTGATTGCTACTAAAGATGTGGAAGACTTATAGTCATCGTCTAAGAACAAAAATATCTAGCACACGGAGATGCAAAATCATACTAAGCAAATTCATAAAGATCATAATTGATCGCTCATTAAATCAA